TTTAGAGGTGACAGTGGCAGCTTGGAGCAGGAGTGTCCCACAGCAAGTAAGACAGGTAAGTGCTAGATATAAGCAGTCTGGCCTGCTCAAGTCAGCTTCTGATCCACAGGTCGAATCCTTGTTGGCTACCCTATGTATTAAAACTACAATTGACAGGCTAGGCAGGAGGTATATGCAGGCTGGTGTACGTAGGGTACCATGCAGAAAGCAAAAGCAAAGCAGGCAATCATATAAGCATCGGTGGTTATAGCAGTAAGTACACTTATTGACTACTAGAAATCGTTTTTGTTGGCCCTGCAAGTAATAATGCTACTATGTAGAAATTTATCAAATAAGCTGCAGAAATGCTTGATTCAACCCATACCTTGTTCGCAGGTGGCCAGATGTATCAACTACAGCGAGTTGTGAAAATGATATCTGATAATCAAATTCTGACTAGGAATTTTATCCCTTGGCAGGTAGTAGGCAGTGGACCGTCCTTTGACTACTTATATTTCCTAGTAAGTTTTGATTATACAATTTAAATCCGCAATAATGCGATGGCACGTTTCAATACCTTCATAGGTTATCAGAAAAAGCCCTGTCAAATATCACTATCTTGGCGGGACTTTCCCAGAATCCCGCCAAAATGACCCACTTGTCAGGTTATACCGTTTTAGGTTATTAGGTTGAGTTAGCAGTTATCTTATTTTCAGGTTGAGGACTAACTAGGTATTCCAGATGGAGCAGAAGAAGAAGATGACAAAACCCAGAGTCCAGACTAGTTATAACCTTCAACTAATATAGTAAGGTTAATGATGGATCAATGTTATTATTTTTCTACTACTTGATTTTTCTACAAGGTAAGATCATTATATTGCAAATGTTGTTGATAATTCACCAATATATATGTATTTCACAGATTTGGACCAGAGGAAGCCCACATCAGTAGAGATCGGACCGAGGATATCGAAGTTGATGGCATGGGTAAGTAACAATGGGGAAATGATTCCTTTTATTAATGGTTTCTCATTATTTTCCAGGTCTGCTGGATCTAAGCAGTACTCGAATGAAGATGAAATATCAAGCATGATACCTAAATGATCTGTATAACGATTGAATAAAGGATTTTAGATAACTCTGCTTCTAGTCTGTGCACATACTTACATTAAATCAAAGTGAAACCGTAACAATACTTCTTTTTAGTTCGGCTATCCATGAAAACGGGATTCTTCAGTTCTTCAAACTATTCTACTTATTCTCTACTTCTTTTTAGTTTGGCCACCTATAAAAACGTGTTTCATTAGTTTTTCAAATTACTATTTATTACTGCGATGGTGATACCTGGCACTCGTTTATTATTGTTTTGCAATATACATTTTCTTCTAGAAAATATTTTTTTACTTAAATATTCATCATCACACATTTATTATTTTGTTTTGAACTTCTTTTTAGTTTGGATATCCATGAAATCGTGTTTCATTAGTATTTAAATTTACTATTTTTATTTTCTGCTTCTTTTTAGTTCGACAATCTATCTCGTTTTTTAAACTATACTATCAATTTTCTACTTCTATTCAGTTCGGCCTCGAGATTGGCTATCTATATAAATGCGTGTTTCATTATAGTTTTTCAAACCACTTTTATTACAAAGCTCTTTCACCATATTGAATCCGCCATCTTGAATTTTCCAATTTTAAAGAATAAAATCATAATCTCCGACTCCAAAATCCCCAGCTACAGATTTTGAATGGAATCGGATCATAATTACAAAACTCGTCCACCATATTGGATCCTCCATCTGTAATTTCCTAATTTTGATAAAAGAATCATGATCTTCTACCCGAAAATTACCCAGATACAAATTTTGAATGGAATCGGATCATATATAGTTACAAATCTCGTCCGCCATATTGAATCCGCCATCCCAGATAGCACGGGACGTCCCGAAGACGTCCATTTTAGGTCCATTTTTGGTCTGAACGTCCAGGACCTTTTATGGACGTTTTTAAGACGTCCATTATTGGACATACTCCGGACGTCCAGAAAAAGACGTCTTTAAAACGTCCAATTTACAGACTCTCGCGGTATATCAGTTTAAATTGATATAAGTAGGTAGGTATATATAAGTTTTGAAATTAGAATTATTGAATTGAATATATGGACATGAATAATGTCAAAAAATATATTATATATCAGCTGTATCAATATATTGAATCTCATTTTATTATTAATATTATGAATTTGAAATATTTATGATTTTAACTGATTTGCACCAACTTATATAGTTATGTTGAATCATATTCCTTCAATCACATAATACCTATACAGTTTGACCATTCTTAAACCCACACTGAAGTATTCATACAAGCCGCGCTTTTATAATAAGATTTGATTGAATCACTGAATATGTAAAGCAACCGTAAAACGCATGCGTGCTCAGCGTTGCCAGACTTACTGTTTTAGCAGTAGATCTACTGTTTTTGTCTCCGTTCTACTGTTCAACTATTCAAGGCAATGGTCTGATTGGTCAAGTTTTGATATGACGTAACTACCCAATATGCAACAATGAAAAATTAATGGGACATCACAGTAAGAAGATGTATGATAAAAATATACTGCAACTATCATATTCAGTCTGATTAGTGAAAATTAGCTTTTATTTCCAATCTGGTTGCGGTTTTCACAAATTTTATTTTTTATTTCCATTATTTTTTGTTATTCTTCGTTCGATTTTTGATAGGTATAGAGACCGAACATGATTTTTTTTTCGTTTATTATATAGGTGACTATATTTTTTCATTTATAATAGCAATTGTGATGATTATCAAAATCTTCTGTTCAGTTTTGATGATCTACTGTTTTTCCCCACCCATCTACTGCTCCGACAAATTTTCATCCGGCAACACTGTGCGTGTTACGTGTGAAACTGTGAAACGAAAACGTAGGAAGATGGCGTCCGTCAGTTGACCACTGCCGAGTGCCGATTAAACTGTGATTCAGGTCCAAGGACATTCTGAACTTTTCGGGTTATTAGACTGTAAAAGCAGTGAATAAGTGAAATCTTTGCGGATATCATCTATCAACTGGTGAACTTCGATCTCGAGTTCCATCGAGATGTTTATTTGAAGGCAAGTATATGGCTATCGACGCTATCGTTTTATTTTCATTCGCATGAAGATGCTTGAGTAGGAACATCAAATCTGTAGTTGAAAACATTAGATACCTTTCTAAATAATTTGATCTCATGCAAAGCTCTACCTAATCCTATTTCCATCATCTACCAAAGTTTATATTTTTGTATATAGTTAAAACATAATATAATTCGTGCAAGGTTCATAGAGGTTATATAGGTACCTACCTACGAATCAGTTTATGTATGGAATAAGTTCTCAATGAAATAAAAATAATGAAGTATTCCGCTATACTGACTACTACACGTTGAAAGTGGGTGTGTGTTTATGGTTTATGGTATTCACAGAAGATGTTATTGAATATTATTATTATTTACAGATCCAGTGAAGAAGACAACAGAAGGCTGCCAATCAGAAAAATACATCATCGCACCTGCGTACCTGGATGAATCACGCGACGTTTTTAGTGGTGCAGCTGCTGATATACGATATGGAAGAGTGAAATTGAAACAACTACCTGAATCTCTGTTCATATTATTGTTTGCGAATAAATGTTAACTAATATTCAAGTATTTCACTCCTCAGATGGGTCAGAAAATCAATAACCAATATTGTCTGAATGTCCTCAATACGTCCATTTTTCATCCCAAAAAGGTCCTAGTCTGGACCTAAACTGGACGTCCCCAAAACATCCTGATTATTAACAATGGACGTCCTCAAAACGTCCATAAGACGTCCGTCGTCCGGAAATGGACGTCCCCAAAACGTCCTGAATGTCCAGAGTGGACGTTTTTAAAACGTCCATAAGACGTATTTGTGCTGATTGGGATCTTGAATGTCCAAATTTGGACCAAAGAAACATTATCTCTAATCCCGAAAACCACCCGATACCAATTTTGAATAGAATCTGACCATAATTACAAAACTCGTTCGCCATAATTATGTTGGATCCGCCATTTTGAATCTCCTAATTTTGATGAAAAATCATAATCTCCGACCCCGAAAACCCCCAAATACCAAATCTTGAATGAAATCGGATAACAATACTCGTCCGCCATATTGGATCCGCCATCTTGAATTTTCGATTCAAAAAATAAATTACGACCGATTCTCATACCTACCGAATACGCACAAAGAATTTCATACGAATTGGTCGAGCCGTTTCGGGTGACCGCGATAGGAGAATTTTATATATTAGATTCTATTCCGGATACTCGTGGATCAATCTAGAAAAGTATACAGTATGTTTCAAAAAGTTGATAACAAATGGAAAACTTTTTTATTATTAGTTTTAGTTTCAGTTTTATACAAAGGTATGTCCAAAAATATACATTTTGTGTTCAAATATCTGATAACATGAACGATGAAAATCATGTTTTATTTTTGCTTACAATAATTTCTGATCGATTCATAATGAAAAACTTTTATCATTAATTTTACGGAAAATTCGTAGAAAATAATAAAACTATATTGTCATCATAGACAATAAATGTTTAGATACCAATTTCTTTTTTTTTTTCACTTCCAAGATTTATGTCCATCACCTGGATCGAAATGGACATCCATCGGATGTCCAATTTTGTGGCAAATGGATATCCGATGGATATCCATTTGATGTCTCTCTGGACACAATCGGACGTCCAATGGATATTCGTTATGTCCATTGTGGACATCCATCGGACATCCAGTGTATGTACGTGTGTTATATGGGTAAATCGACTGCAATAAATGTCTTTTTTTTATGGATACACCGACTGTCCGAAGCCTGGCCGGACAGCTAGTTTGTAATATGTGTATAAAAAATTATGACGATTTTCAAACAAAAGTATGTATATTTATGAAACAATTTATTATTAATAATTGAAAAATCCTATAATTTATCACTACCTATCGCACATTAGCTTGCAGAACTTTCCTGGAAAGCCTCATCAGTCCTGAAACTGGATCCCTCCCGAAATATTTCACTTGTAATTCTTGGCCGATTTCCAGCCCTAGGGCTGAAGGATGAGCCACCTGAAATAAAATTTTACAGATGAATGATTTTCAATACTTTACAATATTAAAAAAAACGATAGAATAATATTAAGTTTTCATAATGACAAATTAGCATTCTGTTAAAACCTCATTATTTTAATGACTTGATTAGGTTTTCAGAGTTTGGCTGGATCGAGGAGTAAGTAATTCACTGAGCAACCTGAACCCTTGCCAGAAATACACGAAATTAGTTGTAACGTTTTTGGTAGAAATCTTAAGTTGGACAACCAATTAAAACTAGGTTTGGAAAACCTTCTGCACGAATAATGTGTGGTAGATTAAATAAATCACATGTAGTGGACCACATAATGTTCAATCACAATAATAAACAGACAGCGAGAACCTAAAATTGATTGAGCCAGTGAATAATTTCAAAAATGATTATAGATAAATACATATGAAAGTCTGGAAATAATTCAGAATAGTGATTGAAGAAATATTTGGCAATTTTTTTTGACGACCTTTCACAAACAATCTGAAGTAGAAGTCTAGAATAAGGATAATCATTTCGGTTTCATCTTTTCCTAAAAATGTCAACATGGTTGACATAACGAATAATAATAATATATGTCAAGGTGTTCAAAGCAATGAAGTGTTATCAACCTGTAGATTCAAGAAACATTTTATAGTCACCTAAAATTATTCAATGACTATTTCACTCTTGTTCTCGAGAACAAAATCGAAAATCGACCGTTTCCACGGATTCTCCTGTATTTCAGAGATATTTTTTGTTAACCAAATTTCATCGAACTTCCTCTACCAATACAGAAGCCGAATTGACCGACACGTGACCAACCAACCTCGTTTTTAAGCGATACACTTTTTGACATTTAAAACTTCAATCATGTTGGAAGCCAGAATGATGGATGTAGTGTGAGCAACTTTCGCGAGGCGCTCCTTTATTGTCTGAATTATGAAATAGTCATATGAATACAAATCGTGATTCCATTTTTACCTGGAAATATCCGTCGATTGACATACTCTTCAATTTCGCTCATGACATTGTTCCAAAACTTTCGAGCCGTAGGCAATGTCATTCGCGAAATTATTAGGCGACAAGTGTGTGGTATTTCATAATATGACTATTCCACTCTTGTGCTCGAGAAACAATCATAACCGACCATTTTCACGGTTTCTTCTGTATTATAGCGATATTTTTTGTTTACTAAATTTTATCGAACTTGCTCTACCAATACAGAAGCCGAATTGACCCACACGTGACCAACCAACCTCGTTTTTAAGCGATACAATTTTTGACATTTAAAACTTCAATCATGTCAGAAGCCAGAATGATGGATGTAGTGTGAGCAACTTTCGCGAGGCGCTCCTTTATTCAATCAATCAATCAATCAAAACTGAGCTTTATTGTCCAAGAAACATTCTTCCTATTGACAAAGCGTGAAACTAGCAAGTGGATAGATCCACTATGTCCAATTATTTGTACAAATATATAAAAGATATGAACATAAGATATAATTAATAAATAACACAAATACAAGGGTATAAAACAACTACAAAAAAGCCCTAAAAGCATAACATTTATATCACATACACCGCCAACTAGGTACCTAGCATAATAGTAAAAGAATCTAGAAATTAATTATAGAAATAAATTATACATGACTTCAAAACTTTTCGTTGTAATATTCCTGCAGGTCATAGTACGCTTTTTGAATAAGGAATTTTTTAACCTCCTTTCTGAATTTTTTTTAGGCAGCCAGTTCCTTTGAATTGTTCTGACAAGTGATTGTAGATTTTTTTGCTCTCATATATAATGGAATTTTTTGTTCGAGTCATCTTCGGTATCGGCAGAGAGAGGTGACTGTTATTTCTAGTGGACATAATAATATTATGATTCACCGGGTTTTTGTTCGATGAATGGTGTCTGGTGTGGATCAAGCAGACTGTTTCCAAAATAAAGAGGCAGGTGAGAGTGAGAATTTGTTGACTGATAAAAAGTGGCCTACAATGGTCCCTTGCTTTAGCCCGACACAAATAGCGAATCGCTCTCTTCTGTAGAATAAAGACAGAATTCAACAAATTTTGGCTACAAAAACCCCAGAAGGCTATGCCGTACCTGATATGAGACTCTATGAGAGTCTGTATTATTTATTTATTTATTTAATGTTACACTGTTCTACAGGTTGAGCCCAACTACAGAACAGAGAAACAAGTATAACTAATAATACAGTTTTTCATATTTTGAAAAGTATATGAATATAGGCAAGACCTTAGCTGAAATAAAAAGATTTAATCGCAGAGATAGAGCAATGAAAGATATCTGACTGATTATTTGATGAATTATTGTATTAAAGAACACATGTTATGGAGAGGAGAATATTTCAAAATATTTGTTCGTGGTGTCGGAAGATAGAATGTATTGAAAACTCTAGAGGTTTGTCTAGGCACTGTGAAACTCAGCTTCTGCAAAATGTATGAATCAGTGATAATGTTATTCATCACTTTGAAAAGGAACACTGTGGATTGACAATCACGACGGCAACTAAGGCTTTTCATAGCATGTCTAGCTAATAATGTATTATGAGGAGAACCGATTGGTGGACATACATTGTCAGATCTGTAGGAGAGAATTTTTAAGAAACGTCGTTGTACTGATTCAACTGTCTTCATATACAGCTGATGAAACGAATTCCAAATTGAAGATGCATATTCCAGTTTTGATCTGACGAAGACATAATATAATGTTTTTGATGTGGCTGAATCAGAAATTTCTCTAGAGATCCGCGCTATGAATCCATACATCCTGTTTACAGCAGACAAAGTAGCTTCAATATGCGGTGTGAATGAAAGTTTTGTGTCAAAGGTGACACCTAAATCGGTAAATGTGGGCGGACGTTGAAGTATTGTATCACCAATATCATACGGAAATAAAATGAGTTGATTTTTAAGTGTATATGTCATCCCATTACATTTGCTAGCGTTCAAAGGTAATTTGTTACTGCAACACCATTGTTCAACGCGTTTTGATTTAGAGATAGCCGTTCACAATCCTCAATATCATTTATCTGACAATATATCTTTGAATCATCTGCATACATCAAACAGTTGACATCAATTACTTCGATAATGTCATTGATAAAGGCATTGAAAAGTAGCGGACCTAGGTTGCTACCTTGAGGGACACTCAAGGTTGCTGCATATTCCACAGACTTGAAACCATTGAACATAACATATTGACGCCTATCAGTAAAATATGAAGCAAAAAGTTGGATAAGTGCCAAGGAAAATCCGTAACGGAACGACCTTTCATGAAACCATGTTGAAGTGGTGTGATTTGACTGCTCAAATGCTGATATAACCTATCGTAGAGGAGGATTTCAAAAACTTGCAAAATTGCAAATATGAAATGGTCATATGAATACAAATCGTGATTCCATTTTTACCTAGAAATATCCGTCGATTGACATACTCTTCAATTTCGCTCATGACATTGTTCCAAAACTTCTCGCCTACGGCTCAAAAGTTTTGATAAATAATTTAATTCGCGAAATTATTAGGCAACAAACTGTCGAATCGCCGAGTAATTCCGGTAAAAAAGTATCACTTGTCGTATTAGATAATGAAGAAAAAATCGATATAGATACGGTCGAAGTCAAACTTGCCTTTCTCTGATCCAATTGGGAATTGTGCAGCAAAGCGGGCGGCATGCCCGCATACAGGGTGACCATAACACCGATGTCTCTCAGTTCGACGATGGTCGCTTTGTAAATGCCGCCGAATTCCAAATCGGGCGCCCTTTCGGTGGTCAGCCATTTTTTGATGATCTCTTCTGCCTCGTCCATCGCGCTCTGACTAGGCGCGAACACATCGAACGTGCTATCATCTATTTGAGACACCTACGACTTGGGGGTTTAATGTGATTGTTTCGCATAAGTTGGCGAATTGCGGCAGAATTTTGAACTGTATGAAACGTGAACGTTTTAATAACTTTTGAACTCACATGGACACCTGTTTCGGCAAACAACTTCTTCAAATTGATTCCGCCTACTCCTAGCAACCTAGATCTTTTGTGTGCTTCCACTTCAATTTTTTTGCTGACCGGCCAATTGTCCTTTTTCACAGATCTGAAATTTATATAACCAGGTGACGATTTGAAAACGAGCAGCCCTCAATATTTCTTCTACTGATGACACTATGCAAATTTGGCGAAACATTTCAATTCATATATCGAGAGGGGACATATTTTAAGGTATTTGTTGTTATATTATATACAACTCCTTCACCGTTAGGGCAACTACCCCGATAATTTTAGATAGCAACCCCACTTATTCTGTTATTTCCGAAATCCTCATGTGATTACAGTTTTACATCTATTTTTAATAGTTTTTTCCTCAAAATGGCGGTACTTGACTTCACAAACAACAACTACCTCAAAAGTTGTCTCCCTCGATATACAGTGAACGAGTTTTACTAATATTTTTAATGACGTCATCACTGTTCGAGTTATGATAATATCTTCAAAGAAGAAAACATTTTTTCGTGTATGGTCGTCATAATTTTCCTTTGTTTATGTTTGTTATGTTACATAACCGTATTTTCGTGAAATGAAAGAGATTTCATCCTAAAAGACGCAGGAAACTGGAAGGGAACAGGAGCCCCAACTGGTCATACTGCCATTGCCGCCAGGACGGATGAGGAAATACCTCTCTCTACCTTTGAGGTGGTAAGAGGCGGGAGAAACGTTGAGGTGGAGAAGAAAATATACGCTCAATATCCCGACAAGGGAAGATTGAGGTTAAATTCATACCAAACAGTCTGGTTTGCTACTCAGGATCGCGTATGACAGAGAAAGCGGGAGCGGGAATCTACCTGCGGACGCGGGGTGCAAGAGAGTTTTGCTCTCGGGAAGTATCAAACGATATTCCAGACAGGTATTCGCAATCCAGGCGGTAGCAACGCTAAAAGAGGCAATAGAGGGACCGGAACAGAGAATATAGGCATATATGTTTCGATAGTCAGGCAGCACCTGAGGCAGTATGCTCCCCCAGAACTAGATCAGCTGTAGTTCAGGATCACGGACATGCCCTTGAAGAACTTTTCAAAAAAGAAGGAGGAAACACTGA